ATGGAAGTGTTGGTTCAGTATTGGAAGATCCACCCCCAAAAGCCATCATTTTGACAGAGGAAAGGAAAAAGTCATATGATCCTGCCAATAGTTGGAGAAAAAGTATTGGACTAAATTCTATAGCTGTTCATGGTAAAAGCTATCAGGAGACTAGAAGTAGAACAGAACATTCTCAACAGATAAGACATGTACTCCATGCTTCCAGCAAAAAATGCCTCATATGAATGTAAAAGATACAATGCTTTCTCCCTAAGGTGGGGAACAAGGGCAGATATGCCTACTCTTCATCTGTCCATTAAACTTTGAAACATAGGCCCAAACCAAAATAGTCTGGCGATAAAAAGACACAATTAGGATAGGTTTGCCAAGGTAGAAGTAAAATCTTTATATGTAGATGAAACGATCATCTACAGAGAAAATACTAAGAAATCTACAGGAGCCCCTATAACTTGTATCTGAATTTAGCAGGATTAGAAAACACAAGGCATATATAAAAATTCAGGTCTATGTATATTTACTATAAATGAAGAATTGGATATTAAAATTTAAAAGTTTTGTAGGAGTACAAAGGACCTAGTAAAGTAAAAAAAAAAAAACAGTGTTGGAAGACATTTATTACCTAATTTTAAGACTTCCTCTAAAGCTACAGTAATCAAGTCAGTGTTGCCATAAGGAAAGACATATAGATCACTGGAATAAAACAGAGAATCTAGAAATAGAACCACACATATATGGTCTACTGAGTTTTGAAAGATTATTTAACGGTAACATTTTATAGAACATAAACTCAATTCAAGAGAAGAAGAAAAGATAGTGTTTTCAGAAAATGGCACTAGAATACCTGGTATCCGTATATAAAAAGTTAACCTCAACCATTTATTTCCATACATAAAAATAACTTGAAAGGGTCTATGAAGCTAAATATGAAAGACTGAAACTATAAAACTTTAAGAAGAAATTATAAGGGAAAATGTTTATGAATTTAGGGTAGGCAAGAATTTCCTAGGATATAAAAAACAGGATGTATAAAAGAAAAAAATCTGATAAAAGGGATTCTATCAAAATTTAGAACATTAAATGGCATCGTTAAGAAAATGAAAAGTAGATGTTAAACAGACCATAATTATAATGCATATAACCTATGATCAGAATATATAAAGAACTCTTACAGCTCATTAATAGACAACCCAATTAAAAAGCAGACACAAGAAGATGATAGCCAGTACAGCACAAGGAAAGGTGTGCAATGCTAGAATCAGAAAAATACTAATCAGTAGAATAACAAGATTGAATTATATACTCATTAGGGAGATGAAGTTAAAAGCTTTAAAAGAACAAATGTCAGCTGAGGTGTGAACCAGTTAGAACTTTCAAATACTGCTAATGTAAATGTAAAATGACAAAACCATTTTGGAAAAAAATATAGAAATTTCTTGTGTTACTGTTAAGAACCAACAGATCTGTTCTTAAATTTTTACTTGAGAGGAATGAAAACACATTTTCACAATAGATTTGTACATACAAGTAGACTATCCCTTATCTGAAATTCTTGGGACCAGAGTGTTTCAGATTTTCGTTTGAAATCCACTTGATCTGCAGAGGATAGCTTTAACTGCTTTTGGGGGGGGGGGGGTTCCTGTAACATGGAGTATTGTTTTCCACCCTTTAACTTTCAGTCTATGAGTTTCTTTTTGAATGAAATGTGTTTATTGTATGGAGCATATTGTTGGATCTTGCTTGGTGACCCACTGTGCCAGTCTATTTCTTTTAATTGGTAATTTGAGACCATTAGTATTGATGGTTATAACACATATATATTGGTTTATTGTTGTCATGACTTTTTCTATTTGTTGGATTCTCCCCCTTTGCATTTAATTTCTTGTCAGGCCCAATGGATTCCTTCTGCTGGTGTCCTGGGGTTGTGATCCTCGTTGTCTTTTCCTAGGATATTGTCTAAAACTTTTTGGAGTGCTGGTTTGGTATTCATGAAGTTCCTAAGGTGCTCTTTGTCATGAAAGTATCTTATTTCTCCATCAATTTTGAAAGAAAATTTTGCAGGGTACATCAATCTGGGGTGGAGGCTGTTTTCTTTTAGGGCTTGGAATACATCACTCCAAGCCCTCTTTGCCTTGAGGGTTTGCATTGAGAAGTCGGCTGTGATTCTGATGGGCTTTCCTTTGTATGTGATTTGTTTCTTCACTCTAACTGCTTATAGAATTTTGTTCTTCTGTTGGGTTTCTGGAATCTTAACTATTATATGGCTATGTGTAGATTTTTTTTTCAGCAAGGCTAGTTGGAGTCCTATATGCCTCATTTATCTGTATGACAAGTTCTTTTTCCCGGCTTGGGAAGTTTTCTGTCATCACTTCTATGAACAGTTTTTTTATGTCATCTGCACTGTCTCCTGTTTCTTCATTGACTCCAATCAGTCTTATCTTATTCTTCCTTGCATCATCTAGCAGCTGCTGGATTGATTTCTCATGGTCCCATACAATTTTAAAGAAATTTTTCATTTCCTGGTCACTAATTGCAATTTTATCTTCTATATCTGAAATTCTGTCCTCACTTTGCTTCAATGGAGTTTTTAATTTCCTGGAAATCTGTTTGCATCTCTTTTATGTATTCCATTTGTTTCCTATGTTAGGATTCCATCATGTTCCTGAGCTCCTCTATTTTTTTATGTGTTCTCTTGAGATTTATTAATTATGTCTTGCACTATGGACACAATCTCTGTTGTTATCTGAGAAATTATTTCTGATTTCATTTTTTCCAGATCCTCTTTGCCAGATCAGGGAGTCCAGGTGTTTGGGTATTGCAATGTTCCATCTTGTTTTCCTTTGGGGTTGTTTTAGGTGATCTGGAAGTCTGGTTTTGAAACTCATTTATGTGTCTTCTCACTTCAATAGGGAGCGGTGCTACTGGCTCCTGCGCAGCTCACCTCCTCTGTGCTCACGGGGTGGTACAGTGGCCTGGAGGCATCCTATTGTGCACTGAGAGTGGCTCACCTCCTCTGTGCTCATGGGGTGGTACAGTGGCCAGGAAACCTCCTGTTCTGTGCTGTGAGCAGCTTACCTCCTCTGGGCTCATGGGGTGTTATGACGGTCCAGAAGCCTCCTTCTGTGCGCTGGGAGTGGCTCACCTCCTCTGTGCTCGTGGGTTGGTACATGGGGGTGGAAACCTCCTGTTGTGCGCTGGGAGTGGCTCAGCTACTCTGAGCTTGTGGGGTGGTACATTGGGAGGATGCCTCCTGTTGTGCGCTGGGAGTGGCTCACCTCCTCTGAGCTCGCGCAGGGGTATGGTGGCCCAGAAGCCTCCTGCTGTGCGGAGGGAGCAGCACACCTCCTCTGTACTTGCAGGGTGGTATGGGGCCCAGAAGGCTCCTGTTCTGCACGAGGAGGGGATCACCTCCTCTGGGCTCACAGGGTGTTATGATGGTCCAGAAACCTCCTACTGTGTGCTGGGAAAGGCTCACCTCCTCTGTGTTCATGGGTGGTACGGTGGCCCAGAAACCTCTTCTTGCGCGCAAGGAATGTTTAACCTTCTCTGTGCTTGTGGGGTCGTACAGCGGCCCAGAAGTCTCCTCTTGCACGTTAGGTGCGGCTCACCTACTCTGTGCTCCCAGGGAGGAATGGCAGCCCGGAAGTCTCACATAGTGCGGTGGGAATGGCTCGCCTCTTTTGTGCTCATGGGGTGGTACAGCAGGCCAGAAGCCTCCTGTTATGGACTGGGAGTGGCTCGACTCCTCTGGGCTTGGGGGGTGGTAAGGCAGCCCAAAAGCCTCCTGTTGTGCACTGAGAGCAGATCACCTCCTCTGTGCTTACGGGGTGGTACGTTGGCCCAGAAGCCTCCTCTTGTGCACTGGGATCGGCTCACCTTCTGTATGCTCACACTGGGTGGTACGGCGGCCCGGAAGCCTCCTGTTGTGCTCTGGGAGTGGCTCACCTCCTCTGTTCTCATGGGGTGTTACTGGGGAACGGAAGCCTCTTGTGCGCTGGGAGTGGCTCACCTCCTCTGTGCTCCCAGGGTGGTACAGCACCCCAGAAGCCTCCTCTTGTGCGCTGGGAGCAGCTCATCTCCTCTGTGCTCACGGGAGTGTTAGTTTTCTTTTACAAGAGAAACTATGTGATATTTAGCTTGTATGTGTGATATACGTCACTTAACATTATGATCTCAAGATGCAACCATTTTCCTACAAATGACTCGTTACATTCTTAATATTTAACAAACTGAAAATGGAAAATTAGGAAACCTTAATTTCTTGATTTTATATTGTTGAATATTTTAGTTTGAGAGGAAAATTATCTATGAAACATTTAAAAGTTTAAGAACTTCAAGGGGGAATGGGATAAAATAAAATTTATTTTAAAAAAAGAAATTCAAATAGTCTTAAGGGGTTAAAATCTAATCATAAAGTTTAAAAGCTGAAGAACACAGATTAAAAGTTAACTGTTTTGATATAAAACATAAAACAGAAAATGGCATTGTGCATTGTGTGACACTAAATGAAGTGTTCTGGCCATGTAAACATATTAAAACATATTAGGTAAACATGCTTTTCCTGCTTTTATTTTTATGAAGCACTTGTCACCAGAGATTAAAAATGACCTTGAATTAAGAAAAGCCCAAAACCTTTATTTTATATTTTATGCTGTAAAGAGTACTTCATTAGTAGTACTTGATGCTAGATTTTTGATCTAACATTTGAGGAAAATGTTTAATATACAATAAATTAATGCTAGCTTCGCCAAAGGCATCTACAAAAATATGCCCCTCACACTTTTACACATAATATATAGCATTGTAAAATCTTCCAATGTGGAAACTCCCTGAAAAAAATGTGTTGGAAATTACAGCAAGCAAAAGAAAGCATTATATACAAATAGAGTTTAAGCATTCTGGCATATATAGAGATATTAGTGTAAATAGAGTGCAACTTATCTATATATACACACAAAGAACATTTCAGCAAGTGAAGAAAATAGAAGAACCAGTTCTTTAAGTTATACTTGATCACAAAGACGAGAAAGTCTCTGTGATAGTTCATCCTGGAGAAAGTAAATTTTACAAGTCATCAAAGTATTGACAAAATTCACAAATATTTCCAATATCTCCCATTTTAAATATGATTTAAAATCTCTAAAAATTCTCATTAACAACATTATGAGTTCAAGTTTTTTAAACATTGCAAAAGAAATGGAGAACTTAAGAGACCAGAAGCCATCAAGGAGATCAAAATCATTCTACAAATAAAGTGTACATGTGGATAGACAGTACCCATCATTACAGAGGTAAAACCTAATCACATTCTGGTATTTTATGATATAGCAAAAATACCTTATATGAAAAAAAAGTAAATATACATTTTTTCTACATAAATATAAATGTGTTAACTTATATAAATGTATTTCCTAAGTTATTTATTTAAATATATATCAAATGTATAAAATCAAAATAAAATTCAACATCTACCTGCTCAATTGAAGTAACACTTGTGCTAACAGAACCCGTCTGACCCTGTAGTAGTTCCATATTGAGATCAAGCCTAAAAATTAATTTTAAAATAATTAACATAAATGAGTATTAATATAGGTATTTTAAAAAAATAAATATTAATATAGGTATATTTAAAAAATTAAAAATTAATTTTAAAATAATTAACATAAATGAGTATTAATATAGGTATTTAAAAAATATATAGGTATATTTAAAAATGCAAATTTATTACATTTTGCATTTTACCTTAATTTAGATAGACTTAATTTTATAAATGTAAATAGAACTTAAGTATCTTCTGAATGTTCACTTTAAGATAAATGAACTTGCTAATTTTAAATTATTTCTGTGGAACATTAACAGTGATCCATATAGATAGTAATCATATAATAGAAAAACTAATAAAAGACTAAGAAATGATCTGGTCTTCTAAACAAAGGACTAAAATAATGGTCATCTGACATATTTATGGGAGATTATTATATTATGTATCCTTCATGGTGACAAAAAATGAGTAAGACAAAAAAAGATAAAACAGCCTAGTGTGTGCAGCCTCATGATCCATATCTAACATTTAATTTCAGTTTCAGTTCCCTGACTCCTGTTGATATGAATCATACTTGCATTCAATCATATAAATGAGATTTAGAAAAATACATTTATCTAGACAAGATCACTTCAATGATAAGAGAGAGAATTTGAACCTAGCTTCATTTGTCTCTCCATTTGTTTACTCTCCATTGTACTATTACTATAAGATATTAACTATCTTTTCAGCTTGTCTTTAAACCAGTATATACCAACTCCAGTTTGAAAAACTCCAGGAAATATAGTAATTTTAATAGTATGAGATGCTATAGACAGATTTTTGCTGTACAGGTAAAGATGTGCTACACTAAAATTCTGTTACAAGAATCACAAACTCAAACATTCTTAAGGATGGGCATCAGTGTTGCTACAAAAGCGGTTCTACTTGCCTCTACTGCTTCAGTCATCACCCACTATTGACAGAATCTTTCAATTTTGGCCTCTTATTCCCCCAAGAAACAACTGGCAATGGAGATACGAATGGTTGTTATATAACTAAGGGAAATGGTGCTAATGATATCTAGTGGGTAGAGGTCAGGATGTTACTACCCTCCGGATTATTCAGTCCAAAATGTCAATACTACTGAAGTTGAAAAATACTTCTCTAAAACTTATCAAAAAGTTGCACTAAACCTGATTTATCACTAAGGCTGATATGTGGTAAAATTTATTTTTTAAAGACCTCTCACTGTATTTTCAGGCTCAATCTTCTTATATAGTCTTCAGTAGTAACACAAATAAGTCCTTAGTCTCTTATTAGTAAAATGGGGTATTCTGATGTACAATGCCTTGGTTTCTTTTGTAATACTTAGCAAAAATCACCTTTCTAGTCACTTTCCTGTGCTGGCATGTGGGTGGCATCCGGATGCTAACAAAGGAAAATAGCATGCAACCTAACCTTCATCCCTGTTCTCAAATACTGCAAAGCTCATTTTTAATTTATTACCCAGATTTTTAATTTACTAATGATACATTAGTAATAGAAAGAGCTCAAAAATACAACTGTTTACTCTAATCAAATATTATATTAGACAACAATATTTACCGACTCTATTTTCAAGGTGTCTTTGAATTTTCTCTTCCCAGAAGAAAAAAAAATAGAGTACCTAAAATTTATTTTAACCTATTAATCTACTTTTGAAGATAAAGTCTAAAACATTAACATCACCTACTTTTAATCTTTATCTTAGAAAAATATATTTTCATTCTTTACTACTAAGTTATCTTTTTTTAATTTTTTAAGACAGGCTCTCAATTTGTTGTTCAGGATGGCCCTGAACTCACTAGCCCAGGCTGGCTTTGAACTCATGGCTATCCTCCTGCCTCAGCCTCCAGAGTACTGAGTTTATAGGTGTGCACTACCATGTTCACTTACTACTATAGTATCTTGACCTAAATATTATATTAGAGAATACTGATATAACAAGATTATCTATAGCCCAGATATCTTTCTCAAATCACGCCCCCAACATGAAAGGTCTAAATTAAAGAGCCCATATCAGATGTCTTCTTTTGATTAGCAGTACCACAAAAATGTTGGTTACTTACTTTTGAAAAAGAGGACTATCAGCAATGTTGCTGTCTTTTGAATCTCCTGGACATTTTGCACATATTGGTCAGTTTGCAAGACTCAAACTGGACTTATGACTCCATAGTTTGATCACAGAACTTTCTTGTGAGATTGTTTTTAAAAATCCATACATTTTGTACATGCTGTGCACAGTAGGTGGTGAGCAAATGTTTAAACACTGTCTCCCTTGATACTTTCCTCCATGTCATATTATCACACACTAAATTAGTCTATATCTAGAAATTTAACAAAATACTAGGATGATGTGAATAATGTCACACTTTTATGAGCATGACAATGAAATAAATGACTATTAAAAGGACCTTGAAACATTAATGCTTGAGTCAGAAACCTAAATCTGACCAATGCTGGTAAAGGTAAATATTTCCATCCACATTTCAGAATTATAGAACACAGAGATATAAATTAAGACTACCTAAAAGCACTTGAATAACTCCTTACCCAACTTCATCTGCCATTTCATGAAGCAGCATATCCACTTGGTTCTGGAATAGGAAAACGAAAATTTATATTCTAGTAACATTTGCTTTTTGGTAGTTTTGGTAGTTTGGTTTTTGATTTGGCTTTAAAATGGGATCTATAATTTTGAAAAGAAAGGTTTTAAAAAATGTTTATCTCACCACCAGAGAGAGCTGAATTATTTCAGAATATGATTTTTTTTTCTCAGTAATTCTAAGTTTTCAAGCCTTACACTATGAGGCTATATAAAAATATTAGGAGGCCAGGGATTTAGCTCAGTGGTGCCGACACCTGCCTTGCAAGCACAAGGTCCTGAGTTCGATCCGTGATACAAAAAAAAAAATACTACCAGTTAAGACTTACATATAATTTGAATCTCTGAGTAATGTAACTCTCTAAGGAGTGATCCAATTTATAAAGCTCTGTTGTTACCCACCTTGCTTTTACTTAAATGACAACAGATTTAAATTTTATAATAGAATACTGTGGCAGTCCTTCTTGTTGATGCAAACCTGAATTACAGATACTTTTTAAAAACATCTAGAAATAAATAAAATATAACTACACCTGGCCCTCCATAACCCATAAATTCTGCATCACAGATTCAACCAACCACAGATCACAACCATTTGGGAAAAAAATTACATCTGTAATGAACATGTATAGACCATTTTTTCTTGTTATTCCTTAATGAATGCAGTATAGTAACTATTTACATATGTTTTATATTGTAGTAGGTATTATAAGTAATTTAAAGATTATTTAAATTATATGGGAGGATGTGGATGCATTATATGAAAAATACCATACCATTTTATATAAAAGAGTTGAGCATCTCCAGGTTTTGGTATGCATAGGGAGTCCTAGAACCAATTCTCCATGGGCACTAAGGAAAACTATATTGAGATGTTCAAAGATGTAAGAATTCTCAGGGAATAGAGTCTGATTAGTCAAAAAAACTCAATTTAGTTGTTCAAACTACTTTAAACATATAAGAAGGAGTTCTAAAATATGGTCACAAATCTGACCGCAACAAGATGTGTGATTTTAAGCAAATCATTAACTTTTTTCTCAACTTAAGTTTCAATTCTCTATTATTTACTTCAAAAATATTTCCAAAACACAGAAAATAGACCATATACCCATACACATTATCATGGTAGTCATTTTTACTTCATATCTAAAAAGGCATTTTTGTGCTTTGAAAACAAACATTATACTGCATTATTCTATAACTTGCTTTACCTTAATCAACCTTTAAGATTTAATTTTATTAGTATCTTAGAGATCTATTTCATTGACTTTAGCTCCTTTTAGATGTTGCAGTATAGAAATACTCAATTTTATTTATCCATGCTATTTCTGAATATTCAGAGTCTTTATTTTCTCTCTATAATGCACAATGAGACAATATATATTCTTTTGCATGTATGTGCATAAATATTTTACATATATTTAAATACACATATAGGGGCTTCTTGGTGCATAAATTTGGAGATCAAAGTACTAGGCCACAGATTATGTACATTTTCATGTATTCCACTCAATTCAACAATATTCAACAAACATTACAGAGAAAGAAGTTCAGTGTGTTATTATATAGTAGGGTGATTATAGAAAGCAATAATATTCTGTACATTTCAAAAAGCCAGAAAAAACAATTTTGCAAGTTTTTACATAAAAAAATATTATTTAAGGGATACATATGGTCAATCTGATTTAAACACTGTACAATATATACATGTATCAGAACATGACATATTACCACATTAATGCATACAGTTTCAAAATATTTATTAAAATGCATTTAATTAATAAAAAATCACCACTAGCAGTCAGGTGGAACCAGGCTCTAGAATCTAAACATATAATTCAGTATAATCTCCAGAACTCCAAATCAAGATAGAGAATATAGTTTTCCAATGCCTCCTCAGGAATCTAGGAGCAGAGCAGTAAATTCCTACCTCCACCGTGGGACTCTATTTATCTAGCAATACAGAGAAGATTTAGATTCAAAAAGCCATTATATTTCGAATTCAAGTGATTTTTAAGAAGTTATTCTAAGGAGATCAATTAATCTTACTTCTGGAGTTGTTAGGGTTGTAGTGCTACTCATTGTATCTTCCATTTGCTGTGTTTGAACATCCAGAGTTTCAAATTGGTGTTTAAATTTGTCCATCAATGCAGAAATCTGTAAAATATGGTCATAAGAAAAGCTTACACTTGACAGATACTTCAAGGATTTCAAGTAATACTTTTTTTTTTTTTAACCTTTTCAAGGTTCATACTCCTCAATGTAGCATCCATAGATTTAACTACACCTGCTATGGACTTTGTTACCTATTTGGGGTATAAAAACAAATTATGCTGCATTACGAGCAATGTCAACTTCTTTGTACTTGCTTAATATATTATAGTTCAACTTACAAAACTTGTCTACCTTTCCCTTTCCATTAACAGCAAAAACATATAATGCATTCTGGTTAAAACTACCTTATATTCTTATATCTTGGATACTTCACTTCATTAGAAAACAAGTGATTAGATCTTACGTCAAAAATACACTGCCAAAATCATTTTCCTCATTAAGCACTTTGACTACATTATTCCTATACATAAAGTCATTTGCAAGCACCCTGTAACACCTTGCAATAGATTTAGATTTCTATCTGACAATATGTACTGCGCTCATTAAACTTTTTTAATATGTTTGCAATACAGAATTACATTGATTTTTGGGATTTTTTTTTTTACGATAATGTCAAATTTAATCTGCCAAATATACAAGTTGAATTTGTGGAGCATGTTTTGCCTGGGTGCTGCACAATCGACAGAGGTTTCTTGAAATGATCAATGTGTCGGGTTAAAAATAGGTACTGGCCAGATGTGTGGGCACAGGGCAGGGAAGGGCAGAGAGGAGGCCTGTTGGAGAAAACTGGCCAGAGACGGAGAAGCCATGAGACCCAGGACACACTCCCCTCTCCAAGTAGCACCCAGGCAGCACAGACTGGGGCTGGCTTTTGCAAATGTGCCAGCAGCTGCCACTGGCACTACCACCCGCTAACGTGAAATCTACTGAACAAATGACAGCTCTTCTGACCCACCACCCAGGCACCACCCCACCAGGGTTCTGAACTCTAAAAGCAGCAAAAACATTCAAATGTTTACATACGAAATGCTGTCCTGCATCTTTCTGTCTCATATACATATTGCTTTTTGATCATTTTAATCCCCTTGCTTCCTATCCACCTATCCCCTTCCAGATCTCTTTCCTCATCTCCAAAAGGTCTACCTCCCTATTTTCAACCGTATCTATTTTATATTGCTGTTTAAATTATTTCTATTGAGGGTTTTCCATGGAGGAGAAACCATGTGATATTTAACTCTCTGTGTCTGATTACACGTGATAGTCTCAGGGTGCATCCATTTTCCTACATGTAACTCAAATTTATCTTCTTTATGCCCTGAGTAGTACTTCACTGTGTATACAGACCACACTTTCTTTATCCATTCATCTGTTTATGGGTATACAGGCTACTTCCATAATTTAGCTGTCATGAATGCTGTTATTATAAAAATGGGCAAGCATATATCACTGTAATATGATGACTTTAACTCTTTCAGGAAGAAAATCAGACCTATAGCTGGGTCAAGTGGAATTTCTATTTTTACTTTTTTATGGACTCTCCATACTGATTTCCATAGTGGTTGTACTAGTATGCATTCCCACAAACATTATAAAAGGATTCCTTTTTCCCTACAGCTGAGTTCCTATTATTTAAAGATATTAAATCTTACCTTGCTCATTGTTACTGCAGTTTGAACTCTGGCAGCCACATAATCAACCCTAACACTCATTCTCAAGAAATTTATAGCTTGGTTTTTCTGACGGATTGCATTTTCAGCATGTATTCTTGCAACTTCTGTATTTCCTTTCTGAATGGCCTGTTTTAAGGAGAATAAAAGGAAATGATATTGAAGCAAGGAGGGAAAATATTGGTAAAGATAAAGAGCAAAATATTTTAAAAAGAAGAAAATGAACTCAAATTAACCTATAATCTGTGAGAACTTTTACAATTACCTTTTAAGGTAATAATTATTCCTTAAACTGTTAGAAAATGTATTTCTTTAATTTGGGGGGGGCGGGTACTGGGGATCGAACTTGGGACCTTGCGCTTGCATGGGAGATACACTGGCCCCTTTAATTTTTAATATATTAGAAAAATATGTTCATTAACAGCTTAAAAATTAAAATCTAAAATAAACTAAGTTTAAAAAATACCCATAATCATATCACTGAGCCATTGCCACTGTTAATATTTTAGTGTATAGTATTTCAAGTACCTAAACATTTATTACAATATAAATATATTTGTTACAAAAATACATATATAGCGCATACTGTTTTGGTATCTGTTTTATCTACACAACCAAAATAACATCTTTTTAAGTCAAAAATTGTATAACCACATCATCTTTTTAAGGGCTGCATGACATGTACAATTTAACCAAGGTTGTCATATATGATACAAAAATCACAATGGTACATAAGAAAATTCTGTATGTTATGTAGACATAAATATTTTCTTTATCATTTACCAAATGTGTACATGAAAAAGAGGTGACTGGCACAAATCTATGTTTTTTTCTGGTATAATACATTAGGACAGGGCTAAAATCAAAAGAAAAATAAGCAAATTTAATAAAAATTTTAAATAAATTGTTCTGATGGTCCTCTAATACAACAAAATAGAGAAGGTGGTACAGAAGTGACTAACATTTAAGAATAAGATCCCTCATTACTAGATATTTCATTCTAATTCTTCAATAACATAAACAGCAATTTGATAATCATACTAATAGGCAATTTTAGAAACTTTCTAAGTATTTTCATAATGTAAATTATGATGCAGCAGTATGTACAATTTTAATTGTCCTATCCAGAATGCTGATAACAATTTCATCTCCTCTAGTAGTATAAAAGTGTTCCTGTTTTTCTCACATAATCTTATTAACATAGTATATTACAATATTCTACAACAAACAATGTAAGAGGTAAAAATTGGTAGCTCATTGTATTTCTTTGATTAAAACTGAAATTTTTATACATTTAGTAGCCATTTGTATTACTTCTTTTAGACAATTGTCTTTTCTATTTTTTGTTCTTTTTTTTACTGATTTTCAAGAATTGGGTATTTAAATGATTAAGTCTTTGTTACATGTAATGTAGTCTTTGCCAGACTGTTGACTGACCTTAATTTTGTATGTGATTACTTTTATAGTCAGACATTTCCTTCATGGTTTTTTACTATGCTCAAAACATGTTTCTACACCACAAGGTTCTTTGTTATGGCATTTTAATGGCTTCTCTTCTTACATTTAAATACTTATTAAATTTGGTGTTTATCTGGCTGAAAGTTATCATGTATGTATTTACTATTTTCCAAAAATAAAATGCTTCATTTATTGAAACACTTCCTCCTCCAATATATTCAAGATTTATTAGCTTGTTTCCTAATTCTTCCTGTTTACTTTAAATGGTTTTAAATTTAATACTACAAAAGAAATGCATACATGTGACAGGGCTTTCCCAATGCCAGTTGCCATGTTTCAGATTCTAGTCTTAACATATATGCATTTATTAAAATATTTATTGAGCCTCTATCTATTGGCAGACAGTAGTCTCAGCAGTTGGTAGTTAGTAATGAAGTCAAAACACAAAACCTCTGTGTTGGTATACAGCATACATTCTACTTACAGAGACAACAATAAATATGATAATTACAATAGTATATTAAATAGGAGAGTCGGAGAAAAAAGTGGAGTCTCGAATGAAGAGTTAGGACTGTGGCTATTGATATTTTAATTTAGAGAGTGGCCAAGGAAGCTGACGATGAAGGTGGTATCTGAGTGAAAAACTAGAAAAACAAACTGCTAGAGAAAGAGAAGAAGACAGTCATATGAATATTCAGCATAGCAGAGAGAAAATAACTTGTGTAAACATGTCATTTACAAAGCAGGAGGAAGAATGTGTTTGAAGTAGTGTGAATGAAGGGGAGGAAAGGGATGATGATGTCAGGCAACTGATCATACATGACTGAAAGGTCATTTTGAGGACTCTGGCTTTTACTTAGGAGGTAAGAGAGTAAGACACCATTCTGAAAAGAACAGAGACATGACCTGACTTCAGTTTTTAAATGTTCTCCCTGATTGCTATGTTAAGATTATGTTAAAGGGACAAGGGTCAAGGGGGAAGGAGACCAATTACAAACTTACTGCAATAACTGAGGTAAGATAATGATAGCTTGTATCAAGGTAGGAACACTGGAGATGATAAAAAGTGACAAGAATCTAAGTATTATTTAAATGGCATTGTAACATTACAACAATGTTTTGTTGCATCAATTTTATAAACTCTACAGTGCAATATTTGTAATTTTTTGAAGCAAACCAAATCAATATTTCTGAAGATTTTTGCTTCCTTCTTTAATACCATTTGATGGAGTATCCTTCATACATTTGTAACTGAGAAACAAAGCAGACCTAAAATCCGTTTTTAAAAGTTTAAACCATGTACCAACTTTTTGCTTGAAATTGTGTAGGACAAATTAAATTGCATTTTCTTAACCAATGAATTTCTATAATAATAGTTATGTTGAAATAAAGCTTTTAAAAGTGTTAAAAATAAATGTACAATATTTAGAGAAGAACTATTGACAATACTCTTTAAACTCTTCAATGAAATTGAAAGGGAAGTAATAGTCAAAAATTCATTCCTGGAAGCAAGCATCACCTTGATCCCAAAAGCAAGGAAAAACCCAACTGAAAAACAACTATAGGCCAGTCTCACTGAAGAACATAGATGCAAAAATCCTTAATAAGATACTCGAAAATAGAATCCAAAAGATCATCAAGAAGATCATACACCCTGATCAAGTGGGATTCATCCCAGGGATGCAGGAATGGTTCAACATATGCAAAGCAACAAATGTAATACACTATATCAATAGAGCCAAGGACAAAAACCACATGATCATCTCCATAGATGCAGAAAAAGCATTCAATAAAAATCCAACACTCATTCATAATAAAAACCCTATAATAATTGGAATAGACAGTCTCTACCTCAAACTGATAAAAGCTATCTATGAAAAAGAAACAGCCAATATCATACTAAATGGTCAAAAACTGAAATCCTTCTCACTAAAATCAGGAACAAGACAAGGATGTCCACTATCACCACTC